AAGTTATACATTTATAAGTTTTAACCATAGTCTATAAGTATAATTTTAACTTTTTAATAAAACAAATAAAAATTATAATAAAAAACAAATCGCATAATATTTAAAAAATAATAATTTTTCCTTTTTCAGTTATTAAACTTTCCTTGTTTAAGTCTTTTTATAACAATTAAAGTGTTTAATTTTTAATACAATAAAATATTTAATCTATGTATGATAAATTGTTTTTTTTTCATATCGGTTCAAATATTGGTTTTAAAAAAAAACCTATACCGATAAAACCGATATTGCCAATATCGGCCGATAATCGATATCGGTTTGTATATCGGCCCAGTCCTATAAATTATCATAGCTATAATATACGCCACAATTATAACAAAGCTATTCTAAGAATATCATTTAAGGCAGCTACAATTATATTGTAGGCTTAGCCGCTCTATAAACTATTGATGAAAATATTGTAATTATACATTGTCTTCTCCTTACAATGCTTATATAGTCATTATTAGCTTTTAGAATCAATATTTTTATCATAATGTAATGTCTGTGTAAAAGAGGGCCTCTGTGATTCTGCCAYTTATTGTCCTWAGACCAACAAGTTTCTTACTTCACCACTACATTCAATAATTTCATAGAATCACTTATCACACATGACACATCAGTGAGAATAAACTAGTTTTTAAATATAATGCACATTACCAGGTGTTTTATAAAACAAATCTTGCAAGTTAAAAATCAATAAGAATATTTATTTAATTGTTTTATTAGTTATAAAAACTTTATTAAAAAAAAAAAAACATTAACGTTTTTTGTAAATACAAGGTTTTAATTCTAATATAGGTAATTTCTTTTTTAATGCTGTCTTACTTATATCTTGAGTTTTTTTGAAGTCCATAAAGACAAACATTTCAATTGTCTGATCTACTTTTATTTTTTCAAAACCATATTTAGCCAAACTATCAACAAATGTGCTAATATTATCGAATCGGCTTTCAACTTCTGCTATTTTCATCAAACCTCTATAAATAAAACAAAACATTGTAGTTATATTTTTATAGGATAATGTTTTACGTACTAAATTAAAGTTGTGTTTTATACTCTATTTTAAAGTCAAGAAATATAAAAGAAAATGTCTAGTTTTTGTTAGTTGGTGGTGTGACWATAGTCAGTCACTCACAAACAGTCTAAAATCTATTATCTTCCTGTGAGGTGAAGYTATATTCATGTGTACAAGTAAGCGACTCAACCACCAAACAAAATGTACATAGAATATACAATTTACTTATATAATAATACTCTATATATATAAAATTAAATGTCTGATTTTTGTTTGTTAGTTCTTTCAYATTTTTACATTATTTATCTGATATCCCAAGAAAGGTTTCTAAGMTATGATGAATAAAATAACCTTCGTAACACCACGTAAGTGTGCATTAAGAACAATTCTCACACAATCATATTGTTATTCAAGATGGTTAATGAAWWTTTTTAAGTTTTGAACAACATTTCATCGAATATTAAATAATGAATTAAGAGGACGCTACACACATGTTTTTGTGGTTTCTAAGATATCGATATTTAAAACATTTATCATCACAATATTATACTAATTTGAAATTACCCAGTTTTCAAAACCCTGTTGGCTTCTTTGATGAATGATTGYAAGTTTGTACCCATCAGAGAGAGACAGAAAACTGCTATGTCAACCGACCCATTGGCTAAGCTAGTATGAGCCATATCACCAGCAGTTACATACTGATTGACTGCCACAAAATCAAATGAATGAACTTTTACTTTGGGAAATGCCCGAGCAAGCTTAGCGTCACCACAACCAAAATCTGCAACTACAACAGGCGAATTGACATTGGACTTCTTCAAACTAAAAATAAAAAACAATTTTACTCAAAGGTAATTTGTACAAATTGCCTTTATTAATATAGTATACATTGGTTTAATTTGTTTAATTATAACATCTAGTGGTTTGACTGGCCATTGWGTAACTTGTTGCATATATCCGTTRTGATAGGCTTTAAATGCACTTGGTTCTTTTTTAAAATAAAGAAAAGCTTCTTGGCTRCTAGATGAATAAAATTGTTCATTTATATATCTGAAATTTTTTTAGAGTAAATATAAAAAGCAATTGAAATAATTAATATTCATAAATAAGGTTAAATAATTAACTATTGTATACCTGAATCTTGCACCTTTCAATTTATCTTTCATCCTTTGAATAAAGGACACGGGTGTTTTGTCTCCATCAACCTTTTTCTGTGGTTTGTACAAACTAGGAGTAGTGCTTTCAGGCGCACCTTTGTAGCTTATATTTGTTAATTTTATTAAATTGTCATTAGTAATAGGTTGAGTTGTTTGCACTTTAGCTTTAGGTTTTTCATTTTTCAGACCAACCTCRATCAGTGCTTTTTTCGAAATCTTCTTYTTTTTACCTTTCTTTTCCGTTAATCGTTTTATTTTATTTCTTTTAATTTTATGTGTTTTACCAATAGCCGAAATAGCCTTAGCTACATTTTTTTTATTTTTTACTTTCATTTTATAATCTGTTTTTAATTTTTATTAACACGTATTGTTATCACTACTCTGCTGAATGTCTAATTGTTGTTGAGCAATATCAGAGAGAGCTGCTTGTATCTGTTCAAGAAGWAGTTCTCCTTTTCGAACTACTTCTTCCAAACGTTCTGCAGCTAGTTGATTATCCTGCTCTAATCTCCTCAAACTTGCAACCTACAAAAGTTGAAATATTGAAATAAATATATTTTATRATATKTTTTTTGTAAATAATAGTAWTTAATACATGCATCAGTGGTTCTCAAACTGTGGTATGAAAAAAAGTTTGAGAACCTTTGCTAGACATACTTGTAAATCTGTAGAAGTATCGTCGTTTGGTAATGATTCAATTAATGCGTCAATATCTTTGGCACAACGTGTAATAAGTGAAGAAAATAAACTTGTATAATCTAAACATAGTTCAATGTTAGTACGTTATCTCTTATGTGTMTATAAGATTTTAGTTATTTAAAATTAAAACATTATGATATAAATACCTTCTTGTTGCTGTGGAGTTTGTGATCCGTTTCGGTCAAAGTTTGAAAACTTGGATGGTAAAGCACACTGTTGTAAAATTCCGATACTATTGCAGAAGTTATCTGCTTGCTATAAAATTGTAATCAGTAATTAGGTCGATAATTGAAAACAATTTAGTAGAATCATAATGTATACAATACAAACAATAAGTATGYATGCATAATAAAYTATTTTTTAGGGTTCTCTTAATACATTGTATCAAGTTTAAACTTCATAATTATTTATGGAYCATGTATGACAAATGTGAGATTTAAATTAATCAAATCTATCTCAAAATATTTCATACAGTCGACTTAATTAACACTAAAGGTCAATATTCACAATACATAAGAACCAAAATTTAAACATAAACGAATAAAATACATCAAATACAATCTGAATTTAATCAATAATTAAATAATAGTTSCATAAAAAKTCTTTTATCATCATGTTGAATATTACAATATAATAATGCAGAATTATACCAGTCACTGGTAACCAGTGTAAACATTTTCATTTGATTAAATGAAATGTGAGGCAACATTGAGATGATAWACACAGCTTAGGAGCCTACTGATTCTGAGGAATTATGAAAATTTTCAAATAAGAGGGAACAATGTRTACCATTRCCCTCCTCGAGTAGACCACATAAATAGGGCCTCAACCATTTCAGACATGATCAAATAGAGTGTAAACAATTGCGCTCACATCATCAAATACAAGTTTCAACTGAATATATCAACATATTAGTTGAGAATTATTCAATAAAGAGTCACCTCGCCTATCYGATCATTATTTACAAAATAATTTAAACTTCAACCACCTAAAGGTAAGTTTTCTCTGTCTAGCATCAACTACCAGACCGAACATAGTTGGAGTCTAGATGCGGAGTCACGAAGCCGTGTTGTTCCTCTGTTTCACACTGCAGGGAAATAGGAATTGGGAAAAACATACTTCAATTCATTCAAATGCCTGAAGATATTGGCACACGTGTCTCACCGATCCGTAGATAAACTATTCGAATACACAATTTATGTATTATTCGCACTCGACTGTGGCTTACTTGATTAACAATGTCTTGGAGTTGAGTAAGACGATCGGCCATTTAGATGATGACAACGATCAGTGGCGATCTGGACCGGGAATCGAACAGTATACAGCACGAATTAAGATASACCTTAATTCGAGACAGAGGGCAGACAGYGACGAGTSACGAGTGTCCGAGTACAATGTCTACACTAAACGAGAAACGACTAAACACAAGACGTAACACATGCGAGTTCAGTGACATGCGCTCGCCGCGACACGAGACTACGAAACACGAAAGTATATTATTATTATGAAAACAACAGTGGGTGATAACAGCGCCCATTAATTACAAAGAGGTTCCATCCGCGTCATGTGTTTTCGACGTCTGCGGGCAACGATCCGTGCGGTGTCGTTTTCCGATAAACGCCGATAACGCACGACGAGCGGCGTATTTTTTTTTCGGTTCTTATTTTTTTCACTTGGGTTGATTGATATTGGTCTACCGATTTTTTCACTTAAAACTTCTTCAGCAATTGCGATAACATCGATAAACGACAACAACACCTACAGAATTCTCGTATTGTTTGCCGTCAGCTCTTTCGCCCGGCGGTGTTCATGTCGAGTCTGACCGGCCGCSGACATTAACGTCGCCTCCGCCGCTGTGACAAGTCGAACGCGTCCCAACAGTGCTCAAATCCCGGGGAACAGCAACCACCGGACCACAGCGGCGGCATTGGACAGGGGACACCTCAGGRGAGAGACGGGTAAGWCGGGAACCGTGTTAAAAATAACCTTAAACGCACGTCGCCCACCTCGGCAAACGCGGTCGCGTAACCCACGGGGGSGSYGCGCACGTTGTGCACATCTCTCCGTTCCCGTCGGCGACCGTTTCTCACGTTATCACCTCACCGGGACACAGCACTGAGCACACTGCCTGGCTGGTATCATCAGCTCTTGCCTAGCCTGGCTGGCGGCTGCCTCCGCGAATGTGCCCCCGTCGGCAGAGGTGTTATTACTTATTACTACTTTACTATAGTCGGTATTCAGTTTTTAGGCACGTCAGTGGTGTGCAATTTTTTTTAATGGTGTCTCACCGCGACCGGTGTGCGGTACGCGGACGTCTCGGCGGAATATTATTTTCTCGTGCCATCGTGTCTTGTCTTACGCACTTGCAAGTTCCGCTGCCGCCCACTTTTAGCTAAAAAAAGTACAATAACGATAATAATATTACGTTCTATAACCCAACTTCCCCGTTGATTCACCCCTCCGCTTGTGCAGTTAGGTTTTTTTTATGGTTTTGTTTTGATACAATTTTTTCGTTTCCACAGGACCGATCGTACGGACAACGAAATCCACGAAACACGCCACTCAGGACCACCAAAAACTATGGAAAAGGGCGACAAGAAAAATAACGACTGTTACTTTTATTACTATTCCACTTGCATGAAGGTTGGTTTGTGTATTGCTTAAGTCATTGGGAAATGTCATAAACTATAAACTAGTCTAAAAGAATGTTCCCATCATTATTAAATGCTTACCGTTTACCTAGGCACCAAGTGATTTCAAATAATTCTATTTYTATAGGCGGAGGCATATTTTATTTTGTACCTATTAGTTTCAATAACAATATTTAGTTAAATGCTAGACATTTTACTTTTAATTTCTATACCCATGTGTACTTTTATCTTTTTGCCATAGCTCGTGTTTAGACACAAATTTCACTTAACGAATKAGAACTTTATTAACTTAAAGAGTGAAATCATATATGTATTTAAATTGTGTAATATTCTAAAAATATTACCAAACTTTTGTTTAGAAAATAAAATCTATACTGTGTACRAAACTAAAGTTTTTCGACTTTTTGTGTTATATTATTGTTATAATCGAATTACTAGTAAATCTTATAAATATATATAAATATTGTGTGTAATTTTATAGGGAGACAAATGTCCATTTCGCCATGAACCTCAAGCATTAGGATGTGAAATGGTGTGTAGTTTTTGGCAAAGCGGAAAGTGTGAAAATGATCATTGTACATTACGCCATATGGAATTAAAGGTAACTTATTAGATTCAAATAATAGACTTAAATGTTTTCTTGAATATTTTCAATCTTGCTTACTCTAAGCACTAAGTTTTAAGAAAAGAGTACTTTTTTGGCGTTCATTTCCTACAATCATCTTTTCCGCTATACTATGTTGTAATATATTTATGTATCCTTCATTTTTTAATCAGAAAAACCGTAAAGCAATACCATGTTATTGGGAAAAACAACCCACTGGATGTCGCAAGCCATATTGTGCATTTCTGCATACCAAAACTCGTGATCCATCTCAAGATGCAGGTATGCTCCTGGAATATTAACTTTGGATGTTGTTATTTATTTATAAAAAAAATTTAATTCTATCAAGTTGAATACATGCCAGGGACTGAACATGTTAAGAGAATGTTACACTGGCATTTGTTGTCTCTGTCTTACTAGTTTTTAATATTTAAAATTTACGTGTAGTTTCGTTAGTTTAAAATTAGAGTTGATTGACCTCTTATGAAACTTGAGGGGCAGAACAGTATGTGTTTGTATGTATGTGGTGGTTTTTTTTTTATGATAATTCAGTTTCCAAGTGAATTATGAGCATTTTAAATTTATGCCATATATTACATACGCTTAACTTGCTAAAAAATCAAACTAACTTAAAAAAAATCCCTCATTATGTTCTTACCATCGCGTTTTACTATATATTGATTCAATTTTCAAACTAACAAAGCTACTCGGTGATCTGCTGATTTGATATATTACACACTTGTAAGACGGAGAACAACAATTGCCAGCATAACATCCTTTTAATAATAATGCAGTCGTTTAATATTTCAATATGTAGTATTTTATTCTGTTATTCAGTTACCATTTATCATGAAATATTAATAGGTACACAATTTGATAATACCTAAGTATGAAATAATTTATCAAAATATTTACTTTGAAGAACTTCTCATTCTATTAATTAAGTCTTAATTAAATCATCTATATTATAAAATATATATTTAATATTTTCCAATAAGATAATAGGATTAATATTATATTTTTAACATTGACATAATTATTTAAAAAATTTAATTTTTATTTATTTGATGTTGATTAGGGGCTATTGCAATGGCAGCTAATACCATGGCTATTGAAAATAGCTTTCGCATAAATCCAATGGCTGGTGTTGCACTTACTGCTGGTCCTGAAGCTGCATTGCGACAACGTTATGACCAGCCATTACGAATGAATTGACAACCAATGAACGCGAGTACGGCATCTACTGTTTATGGCAGTTCTGTCGTCACACTGCCATATGTATTCAATAATAATCAATCCACTGCTGCCATGTTTCTTGATCATTGCAACTTTAATGCGTTTATGTAAAATTCAATATTGGTATTGAAAACCTATTTTCAGTACCTATTGAAGAATAAAAAAAAAACTGTTTTCCTAGAAAATTTTCATATTCTTGGTTAGGCAGAACTGTTTCATTAAACAAATGCAATATTCAACAACTTAAGGCCGAAGCTTATTTATTTATTTATTTATTTAATTATCTTTGTTTTTCTATTTGAATATTTTATTTTTATTTTTAACTATTGTTATTATTTATTTTATTTTTAAGTAATTTTTAATGAACATCATATTTTTGTCTGCACTGTAGTTCATATAAAAAAAACGTGTTGCATAATTCCACGTTTATTCAGCTCAATTTCTATTAAACTGATTACATTCTGAATGCTTTGAGAAAAGTCATGAACTAATGCTTTTTTTATTTGATCTTGTTATTTATATTAACAACTATTATGAATAGAAAATTCTAGTTTTGTTTTGTTTGAAAAATTATCTAAATAGTATTAAAAATGTAAAAATTAAATTTATATTCATGATACATATATTATTATGACAATGAATTAGACGTGTCTAGTCTATGCACACTTAATACTATGAAACTGAATGTAATGAAAACAAAAACATTATTACCAGTAATATAAGTTGTTATTAAATAGTTTAGTTTATGTTATTTATTTATAACTTTTCCATTATTGTTTACTATTCTTGGGATAATRTAGTGCATCCTGTATTATCTGTGAAAAATGTGTATATTTTTTTGCTTAGTTCTGGCCCAATTCGACGATTAGAAGCTAGTGGACCAAATCCACGCCGGACCTGAAATTTGTATTCATTTTAAAATCTTTTTCTAATATCTAATTTAAATACAAAATTATCTTATGCTATTTTATTATTTTAAATATAAATTACGGGGATATCCTGTAGTAATGTTTCTCCCTCTAATCTTGAACTGCAGTTCTCATATGCCTAGATTAAAAATGTAATATTTATTATTCATAAATACACGAAATGGACATTAAATGCATTAAGATAAAATATTTTCTTTTAATCTCTTTATATAATGAATGATGTTTGTAAACATAATATACATAACATTGATAAATAATAATTTGTTTTCTGCTTACTTCTAACAATGCAATAGGTGACCCATACGCTGTTGCAATTGCTTCACTAGTTTCAAGACCACAAAGTGGAAATTGCGATAACATTTGTCTCCATAGTTGAGTTAAGCCTATGCCATTTTTGTCTACTGTTACACAATTTTTTGTATGACCAGATGCATACCAATCACATCCATCTTGTTCTTCTTTGTATTTGTTCAATCTTAAAACAGATAAAGTTTATTTGATAAAAACTCATAAAATTAATTACTTAAAAAAAATGTTTAGTWACTTGAATGGCTTCTGAGCAATGGATTTGGTTAGATAAAAAACTGCCAATCCTATATCTTTTTTATTTTCTACAAAACGAAATGAAACTCGACAACTTAACATCATCTGTTCGAGGCTATTTAATATATCTGGCCTATCAATATAATATAGAAGTTTAATATTTTTACACATCTGCACAATTTATGTCAGTACATACCCAGAATTCTTCCCGGTTTTCTTAGATTTTATTTTTCTGTAACAAAACGGTTAAAAAAAATTTTAATATACAAACAAACTAAATAATTGTTTATATTTAATCAAAGTTTCATATGAGTGTTTATAAATGTCATGTGATAATACATACTTAAGTTGATCAGCATTACAATGTATGATGATTGAAAGTTGTGTTTTGTGTAATTTAATATCATCTATTTTATTTAATAATTGACACGAAACAATGAGATTTTTGACATAATCAAATTCCCAAATTACCAAAATAAAATTTTCTTCTTCGGTAACAGTATCAGACTAAAAAAGTTTAAATTAAATTATATTGATTAACAAGTTCATAATTATTAGTTATTTATTAGTTGTATAACAATGTTTGTTATTCGTGTTGTGTTTTAGATCCTAAACTATATTATATTTAAATTAACAATAATACATATTTTTTATTACTATATTCTTAAATAATTATTTAGCTGTGTTTAAAGTAATTTATTATTTACTATTTGCCTTGACCATGTTACTGAATTTAATACAGTTGAATTTGACTCAATTTTATATTTTGCGTCTGTAGATTCTATTTCAGATACAATCTGCTCACCATATTCTTGATTCATCAAACTTATATCAATGTGAACAATTACATACTAAAATGACATAATACAAATAATTTATTAAATAACTAAATACTCTAAATTAGAAAGTATATATGTACAGACCTTCATACATTCTTTCGGACTTATCCGTTTTAATTCTTCAGCTAATCTCTTCTTTGCAACTTTTCTAGCCCTTTCTTCCTTTTTTCTTTCTTCAATTTCTTCTTTTGTTGAACGTTTTTTTCGTTTTGGCTCTATCTAAAATGTGAAAAAAATATTCTTATTAACATTTTGTAAACTATTGATTATAAATACTGATAATAATACATAAATTAAAAATAATATTTATAATCAATGTTGACCATTTAAAAAAGATATAAGTATTCTATRTTTACTATATAGACTARTTAAAATACCTTTTCAGTAACTTGTTCGTTATTTGTACCAGTATAAATACCTGAATCTGTTCTCTGTTTAAAATAAAAAACAAAATATAATTTTTAAATTCCATCTTATTTGCAATCATGTAATTAACACCAAAATAATATTAAAATTTAAAAGTGTATAAGTAACAAGTAGTACGAAATTTTATAAAATAGAATAAAACAAAATAATATTCAATCTAATTTTTATATGATTTTTAGCTATCACTAAAATRCTAAATATTACATATTATACTAACAGGTACACATGTGTTTGGTCCAGGGTCTTCAACGAAAATAGAAATATTTTTGTCATTAGTCTGGACATATTTCTGATTATTGTTGTCTCTGCAATGTAAAGTTATATCTGGAGATATCAATTTTTTTCGTTTTTGCTAAATAAAAAAAAAACAACAGAATGAGTAACAATTTGAGGTCCTTAAGCATCATTATATAAAACAATTCATAAAATTCAAATCGTACACGTTGTAAAACTTGGAGAAAAAATTCTGGTTCCTCCTCAGTTGAAAAACAATCATCGTCTTTGTGCGAAGTTTCACTAGTACGACGACCCTTGTTTATGACTGATTTGACTGAATCATCCGAATCCGATATCGTATACGTATTATAACAACCTTCATCCATGTTATATTACCATAAAATAGAAAAATATATTTAAAAAAATTATGATGAACTCCAAAAGTCTTTAACAGCCCGAACGGTCGAATGACGGACTCAAAGTTTGAAGTTAAACATCCAGTCATCCAATCGTCTTTAGTTATTTGTATTTTTAAAAATAAGGACACTTGTAAACATGACAATTGATAAGTTTTATCTTTTCCAAATGTTTACGCGCCATTTTTTTAAATCTTCAATAATATAATATGATAATACTGTTCTGTGGTGATATTAGACAATTTAATATATGATATTAGACTATATTTTAGGCGCCTATAGGTAAGTTTATATTCTATTGATTTATTCAAATAAAACAATACGTACCTGATACGTTAAAATATTATACTAATACCTTGTACAATGTATTCAGTACATTTGTGTCTACATTACGTATTTTTTTATCGGCTATCAGACATCAGCGTTATGAACATGGCCTTAATAT